TCTTTCATTTTTCCCAAATTTTCTTCTAGAGTGAGATATGTGTGATCAGCTTTCTTCTTTCCAGTTCCTAGTTTCAGTTTTAAGTTTTCAGACCTAAGTTCTAGGACACTGTTATCAAGTTCAAGAACCTGGTTCTTCAACTCAACATTTTTGTTATCACTCTCATTTGCCCTAGACTCTAGACTTTTGCATTTTGCTTTTAGGATCACACATTCCCTAGACAGAACTTCCTTCTCATTGTTAATTATCTCAGACTCATCAATGAAGTCTAGTAATAGCTCAGCCAACCTTTCTTTAGACAGGAATTTAATCTTATCTTCGAAGAATATTTACCTCTTGTTCATCATCTGATTCTCCGATGGCCATCAGTGCTTGCTCTTCTTCAGCTTCATCTTCTGAGTCTTCATCTGAGGTTTCTCCCCAAGCAGCAACCATAGCCTTTGTTGAACCTTTGTTTCTTTTTGGTTGAACCTGTTCCTTCTTCCTGTTCCTTCGTTCAGCTCTTTCTTTCTTCCACTCAATTTCCCATTGAGGGCAGTTCTTGATCATGTGATCAGTCTTACCACACTTGTAGCATCCCTCATTGGTCTGTTTCTCCGGAGCTCTTGTTTTGTTGAAGTTTGTACCTCTTGAAGAACCCTTTCCTCTCATCAGGTACTTCTTGAAATCCCTAGTGATCATAGCCACTCATCATCTTCCAGATCTGCACCTTCAGCAATTCTGAGAGCTAAGCTTCTCTCCTTTTTTGGGGTATCCATCTTCATGGTTTGTCTCCTCATTTCATAGGCAGTTAAGTTTCCAATCAGTTCATCCAGTCTAAGAGTAGCAATATTCTTGGATTCCTGAATAGCAGTGATTTTGCTTTCCCATGTGACTGGCAGAACCCTTGTCAGAATTTTCTCAACCTTGTCTTCTTCAAGAATAACCCTTCCAAGAGACTTAAGTTCATTTGTCAGTGTAGTGAACCTAGTATACATCTCCTGGATAGTTTCTCCTTCCTTCATAGTAAAATTCTCATATTGAGAATACAGCAGTGTTCCTCTTGATCTTTTCACTTGAGGTGTTCCTTCATGGGCCACTTGCAAGGTGTCCCATATCTCCTTAGCAGTAGTACAGCTTTGGATCCTATTGTACTCATCTGGACCTGGTCCACACACAAGCCATTTCTTGGCCTTAGCATTTCCCACTTCCTCAGGTCTTCAGCAGTACAGTCAGCCCTTGTCTTTGGCACATCAACTCCTTCAGCATTCTTCTTTGTGGTTGCTAGGGGACCATCAGTGACTATGTCCCAGAGTTCATAGTCTTCCCCTATGATGTGATCTCTCATCCTGTTCTTCCACCAAGAATAGTACTGACCATTGAAAAGTGGAGGCCTAGCAGTGGATTGCCCTTCCCAGTTCCCAGGTGGTGCACTCATGTTGATCTTCTCCTAAGGTGTTAGCCTCTTCAAGGATAACCTGCTCTGATACCAATTGATGTTCTAAACGTCAATACCACACAAGAGGGGGGGTGATTTGTGTGGTACCCAATTTTCGCTCTAGAAGAACCTGGTTCTTCTAGGTGTACTTACTACTACTGTTTGCGGAATTAAGAGTACATAAAATAAAGAACACAGAGATTTTTACGTGGAAAACACCTGGCTCAAAAGGTGAAAAAACCACGACCTACTACTCAGTAGGATTTTCCCAAACTTCCACTAAAATCACTGAGCCAAAACAGCATTTACAAAACTCTTGTAAACCTAAGGATTAAACTCTAATCCCAGTGTGGCACACAGCCTCAACTGTTGCGACACCTTCAAGTTAGCCTATAACTTGAATACTCAAAGTACCTATTACAATTGCTTCTACAAAGGCTGGAAAGGTACAACTTTAAACTACCTACTACAATTGAACTAGAATAAGAATAAACACAATGGAATTGGTTCTTCTATCTTGTCCAAGTAGCTTCAGGAATGCACACTTGAATCTCACATAAATTGCTTGCAAAATTGCCTCGCTCTTTTGCTCTCAATTTAGTTTCACTTCTGCGTTTGTGCAATACCTGTAAAAGATAACAATTACTGTTATTTAATGAGTTAGTAATCAGAGTTTGATTGAGACTCAATTGTTCATCTTCCATCGAAGTTGAGTCCTTGAACAATACAAACTCCAACCCTATCCTTTATCCGGATTGTGTCCTCTTCCCATGAGGATACTTTCTTTCCTCATCCAATATGCAACCTTTTCGATCAGTTCAGGAGATATTGTTGCTTTATCCTTGAGACTTATCTCCTTGACGTATATCTCACATGTATAGGTTGATAAACACTGTGTCTCATATGATGGACCTGGTCCATGACTGAGTTCATTTGTCATTCTTCAAAACTTCACCTGAACTTGGGCCAACATTACCCCTTCCTTGTTACCTTACCAAATGGATATAAGGTGAAAGTGACAGAAATTGGTGATGTTTTACTCAGTCCTAAGTTGACCTTGGTTAGAGTCTTGTATGTACCTAGTTTCAAATACAACCTTATTTCAATTCACTCCTTAACAGTATCTTGATTGCATGGTTAATTTCAATATCTTTGTCTAATGCAGGCCCCTTCAATGAAGAGGCCTCTGGAGATTGGTGAGGCAATAAGTGGGTTATACTTCCTCTGTTCAAAGTGTCACAACTGTTCAAGCTTGAGTCCATCTATTGTTCCTAGTCAGTCTCATTCTTGTATTTCCATTTCTGACAAGAATGCTAGTAGTAAAAAGGATAACATTCATCCATCTCATTCATTACCAACTGTAAATGATCCATCTTACTCATTGAACAATGTAAATAGTGTCCATTCATGCAATAAAACTGATCCTTTTAGCTCAACTTCTTCTTCTGTTTGTTCTGCATCTTCTGGAAGTAATGTTGATTATTTGTGGCACAATAGGTTAGGACATGTACCTTTTATAAAAATGAGGAAAATATCTACTCTACCAGTCAAGTTTGCACCCAACCAGCCCTTTATTTGTTCAATCTGTCCAATGGCTAGACAGACTAGATTGCCATTCCCTGAAAGAACCACCTCATCCACTAAAATATTTGAGCTACTGCATGTAGACCTGTGGGGGGACCTATCATACACCAACACATGACAATTACAAATACTTCCTTACCATGGTTGATGATTTCAGTAGGTCAACATGGACTCAGCTCCTAAGTTGCAAAAGCAACACCTTTCATGCCATTAAAAGCTTTCTATCCATGATTGAAAATCAATTTGACACCTCTGTTAAAACCATTAGATCTGATAATGGTCTAGAATTTGTCAACAATGAAAATATGACCTATTTTCAAGAAAAGGGCATAATTCATCAGAAAACTTGTCCATACACACCACAACAAAATAGTGTGGTGGAAAAAAAATACAAATACCTACTTGAAACAGCAAGAGCCCTCCTTTACCAGTCCAAACTACCCATAAGGTACTGGGGAGAATGCATCCTGACAGCTACCTTCATAATAAACAGACTTCCATCCAATGTCCTTAACAAAAAAAGCCCCTATGAACTTCTGTACAATAAAAGGCCCAAATACTCACAACTCAAGAGTTTTGGGTGCTTATGCTACCCCTGTGCACAGAAAACCCACAGAGACAAGTTTGAACCAAGAGCCACGCCTCATGTATTTGTAGGTTATCCCTTTGGTACTAAAGGTTACAAGGTCCTAGACTTAGCCACAAAGAAGATACATATATCTAGAGATGTAGTGTTCCATGAAAATATTTTCCTTTTGCAGTCTCTCCTGAACATTCTAGTTTTCCCTCAGTGTTACATCTGTTAAATTCCAGTTCACCCAATTGTCATCCTACCTCTAGGGACCAAACTGCCTATGGACTGTATGATAAAGATGCATCAATTTCTGTCATTGATGGACCTATAACTGATGCTACTACCCAAGTTTCCGCACCTACATCTATTCATCCACCTAGTTCACCATTGGCCTCACCTAATTCAACAACACCCAATCAGTCCAACAGTCCTGCTTCCCAGCAATTTACACAATCACAAGTCACTAGCCCTCAAATCACTGAATCTAACAGCCTCCAAACAAATCCTCCAAATCCCAGAAGATCAGGCAGAACCCACACTACCTCAGCACACCTCAAGGACTATGTGTATTCCTTACCAACACTACAACACCAAAGCACAGAGCTTGATCTTCATACCAGTACCACATCCTTCAATGCAATCTGCAACAATAAACATCATGTCTCATTTAATGTTTTACAACTTGAAAGTCATCAATTAATTAGAAATTTTTCACATAATTGTAAGCCATCTTCTTATGAGGAGGAATATATGAATCCTGCTTGGCAAATGGCAATGACACAGGAATTTGAAGCATTATATGCTAACCATACTTGGGACCTAGTTGAGTTACCTGCAGGAAAGAAAACTATAGGCTGCAAGTGGGTATACAAGATCAAACATAAGGCAGATGGGAGTGTGGAAAGGTTCAAAGCAAGGCTGGTAGTGAAGGGTTATACACAAGAAGCAGGAATTGACTACACAGAAACTTTCTCACCGGTGGTAAAAATGACCACAGTGAGAACACTAATCAGCATTGCAGTAAAGAGAGGGTGGAATCTCTATCAACTAGATGTCAACAATGCATTTTTGCATGGAGATCTACAAGAAGGGGTATATATGGAGGTTCCACAAGGTCTAATGGTACCTACTGGGAATCTAGCATGCAGACTTAGGAAGTCACTATATGGTCTAAAACAAGCCAGCAGGCAGTGGTATGACAAACTGACGGAATCCCTACACTCTAGGGGTTTCAAACATTCAGACAGTGATCACTCATTGTTCTACAAGAAGCTGGGGAACTCAGCAGTTTTTGTAGCTGTTTATGTGGATGATGTAATTCTAACTGGTACCAACTTGGAGGAAATCACATAATTGAAGACCTTCCTGTATAATCAGTTCAGGATAAAGGATCTTGGGAAATTACGCTACTTCTCGGGGCTAGAAATGTTGTACAAGGGTGATGGAGTACTAATCTGTCAGAGAAAGTTCACCATGGTCCTGCTGAAAGAGTATGACTGTTTGACATACTCTCCTGTCAGTTCTCCACTTGACTCTATTGTCAAACTGAGCAAAGATGAAGGAACCCTCTTGCCTGATCCAAGGTACTACAGGAAGCTAGTTGGGAAGCTGAATTTCTTAACAAATACCAGACTGGACATAGCCTACAGTGTCCAACATTTAAGCCAATTCATGCAAGCACCAAGGGAACCTCACCTAAAGGCAGATGTTCATGTCCTTAGATATCTGAAGAAAGACCCTACTTTGGGAATCTTCTTGTCCAATGATCCCAGCTACAATGTAAGTGCTTATTGTGATTCAGATTGGGCTGCTTGCCCTGATTCAAGAAAATCTGTGAATAGGTATATTGTGCTACTTGGGGATAGTCCTATAAGTTGGAAGTCAAAGAAACAAACTACTGTCTCATTATCCTCTGCTGAGGCAGAGTATAGGTCAATTAGAAAAGTTGTGGGAGAATTGGTGTGGATAAAGAGATTGCTGGAAGAGTTGACAGTCATGTGTGCTGATCCTATAACTGTATTTCGCGACAGTCAAGCTGTTGTTTATATTGGAAGAAATCCCGTGTTTCATGAGAGGACAAAGCATATTGAAGTAGACTGTCATTTTGTCTGGGACAAGATACAAGAAGGGCTGATTGAACTACACCATATTTCTACTTCTGTTCAATTAGCTGACATCCTCACTAAGGCTCTCACGGGAGTCAAACATTCTGATCTTCTCAGCAAGTTGGCAGTGACTTCCTCACCTCCAACTTGAAGAGAGGTATTGAGAATAATTGATGTAATATTTATAAATGTGTAGTTGAGTTAGTTAATTAGGTAGCTGAGTTAGTTAGCTGACTAGTTGAGTTAGTTATAGTATCATTTTTGTAGTTAGTAGTCATTTTATTTTCCTTCCCAATTACACGTGTATATAATGTGTTTAGACATGAGATAATAAAGTCAGTCTTCATTTTCCCAACTCCTCTGGTTTCCAGAATGTTCTCCGAAGCTCATCCTAGCTCATCAATGGAGGTCTATGGATAATTGACCTCCAATTTCGACACAAGCAATATGAATAATGTGATCAAACAAAATAGATCATACAACATGATTTATAATCTTCTCATATTGGGCGAGTGCTATACTAGTTAAAATAATTCCCGATGCATAAAGCTCATTAAAAGGAGTCGTGCTCCCTATAAAGAGTTTTTCCATCCGAAGAAAAAGACTTAAATTGAACAAAGACATAGCAAACTCCTTGTGAATTTGTAAAAGTCAAATTAATTAGAAGTTCCAAATGCACTGCCTTAAGCTAGCATTATCAACCCTAGTCCAAACGCATATCTAAATGCTTTTTATCCAACATAAGCAAGTCAAAGGAGACTTCTGCCCAACACAAATCACACTTAAAAAACAAGTCTCCCATTTTCTATCTTCCTCAAACTTATTCTAATTCCTTCACAAAAATAGTCAATTTTAGACCTAAAGTAATGCTAACTTCCCCAACACTCTTTACCAAATTCCCTTCTTAATTTCATGCTTCAAATTCTCTTAATGGCATCATAACAACATGGACCACATGTACATACCCCTGTAATAATTTTCCTTTTTAATGACCCAAGTGGTAAACGTCTAAAGGAACGACTTAGTTTGGGTTGGATATTTCCTAATATTCAACAACTTTTCGATAGGTCAAAGAAAACATCCTTTTGCTCTGATTATTGTAAAGTAAAAGAAACTTATGGGCTTACATCTGGAGTGTTCACTTAGTTATCTCTAGCTTTATTTTGGGGGAAAAAAACGTATCGAGTTTACTTTTCACGTATATGGTTGAGTGATTAATTGATATGAGAATATAATATCCCATAAGTGAGGTCTGGAAAGGGTAGTGTATGATCTTACTCCACCCTGTAAATGTAGAAAGACTGTTTCAAATAGACCTTTGACTAAAATACATACTATCTTAATCAGTTGTCTATTGCTGTTTCGAGAATTGAATCCTTTTCTATACAACAACCTCCCGGAAACAGTCTTTCTATCCCCTCCGGGGTAGGGGTAAGGTCTGCATACACTCTACCCTCCCCAGACGCCACTGGTGGGATTTTACTGGATCGTTGTTGTTGAATCTGAATAGTCCAACCAGTGGATTCCAGACACTGAATAGTGAATACCTAAAAAACAAAAGTAGGTTTAGCTAAGATATTGAATTAGGAAGCTGGCCGTTTTTCATACACTTAACTCATGCTTGTGAGATGAGTGCAAACAAGAACAAGGAAAGTAATTAAGAAACCATAATATTTCAATGTCCTAGTTGAGATATACCAGAATCATTAAAGTGTTGACTTCTCTCATTTTGTGCTCAAAAAGAACACTTTCTCTGATTAATTAAGGACCATTATTTTCCCTCTTTAGAAAACTTTTTATTCTTTCTCTAAGTCATTTTCCATCTTCTCCCTCTATAAATATGGATGATACTTCAAGTTGAGATAGCACAAGTACTCTTTTCATTTTGATGCTTATTAATTTCCTAATTAAGTTTCAAATAAAAGAGAGTAGAAAAAGAAAGAAAAAATGTTTCTTAGGAGCCTTCTTATCTTACTACTACTAGCCAATTCATTGTTTTCAACTTCTTGTAATGGAAAGAAGATAGGAAAACCTAGAAAGCATGGTCATAATGCAGCAAAAATTGATAATAATTTGGGGAAAAAGCCACAAGCAATTATTGATATACAAGCTTTTGGAGCCAAAGGTGATGGACTCACAAATGATACAGAGGTAAATTATATTCTTTTTCGTTTTTTAAATAATTAAATTTGTTTTTTTTATTATTATTATTTGGACAATTCTATCTATAAAGGCGTCAAACTACATGCATTTCCATCATAGGTGAAAATATTCATGGGCATTTATGTATTGCTTTATTAGTTGAAAATAAAGCAACTAATAATGATCACTTTTAATTTCAGGCATTTATAAAGGCTTGGAAGAAGGCATGCAAAACAGAAAATGCTGTGCTTTTGGTGCCAAGGCACAAGAGATATTATGTTGGACCAATTAAATTTCATGGTCCTTGCAAGAAAGGCCTTAGAATGATGGTGAGTTCAAATTTATGACAAGAAAAAATAAATATATTTAAATTAGACTTAACTTATAATTTATTAGTCATTTTTCTTTTCTTAGTTACACCTATCCAATTTCGTCCTTGATATTTTTTTGTCATTTAGATAAATGGAGAACTCAGAGCTTCAAAAAACATATCAGATTATGAGCAAGATAAAAGACATTGGCTTTTATTCCAAAACATGGAAAACTTTACAGTTGAAGGTGTAGGTAGCATCGATGGCAATGGAGAAGTATGGTGGAAACGTTCTTGCAAAATAAATAAAACAATTGTGAGTATTATTACGAGCTTATTTATAAAAGAAATAAGTGTGTTTATTTTATTCAAGTCAAGTAACTAATAATTTTCTCTATTTTCTGCAGCCATGCAATGCGAAAACACTAATAGCTCCGACTGTAAGTTTCAATCCCGCCTTTTCCATATATAAAAAGGGCAGTCTAGTGCACAAGTTCTACTATACGCGGAGTCAGGAGAAGGATCAGACCACTTTTTCCACCGTATATCAATTAAAATTCAGCAATAAACATTACTAAACATATATATTCATTTGACAGGCTATGTTCTTTAACAATTGCACAAATGTGACAATAAGAAACATAGAGTTCAAGAATCCACAGAAGATGCACTTGACAATATCTAAAAGTGAGCATGTTGAGGTATCAAGATTGAGACTTACAGCACCTGCTGATAGCCCCAACACTGATGGGATTCACGTTTCTGGGACTAAAGATATCGATATTCACCATTGTTATATTGAAACAGGTTTAAAAATAAATTGGCATTAATTAATTTTTCTAATATTGTGCTTTATTGTCTTCTTTTTTAAGTGATTTTGTAACTACTTATTAATTAATGGTTGAATAAGTTTTTATGGCTAGGTGATGATTGTATATCAATAGTAAATGGTTCCGCTAATGTTAGAGCAAGATATATACATTGTGGACCTGGCCATGGGATAAGGTAATACAATATGGTAGAGAATTTTAATCGAATTTTTTTCTTTTTATGAATTACTAATTTTTGTGTCTTTTTTGTTCTAGTATTGGAAGCTTAGGGAAAAATAAAGAGGAGGATGTTGTTTCAAATATTTATGTACACGATGCCACCTTGAGGGGAACAACTAATGGATTAAGAATAAAGTCTTGGCAGGTATATATGATTTGGTTTCCCACTGTTTATTAACTCTAATCTAATCTAATTAATTAATATAATAAGTCATTCAGTATCATGTATTTTGAGTTCCTAACAAATTTTCACCACTTATCATTAAGCAACATCTAAGTCCAGTTTTGTTGAAAAACTGGTTAATAATGTTATTTACGCCTCACTTTATCTTAATTTATTCCTTTTGTTTTCAAGAGAAGAAGTAGATTTATCTTTGATCTGAACGTATTAGTGTGTAACTGTTTCAGTACTTTGCATTCTTGTGGTTTCTTGAATGTTCAAGTAATTTTGTTTGTAATGGTTGACAAAACCCTATCCTCTTATTTTATTACTTGACCATGGTTAATTAATACTCTTTTTGTCCCAATTTACGTGACTGTACTATTTGTATTTCGAAAGTCAAATAAATTATTCTTTGACCATTAATTTTTTTAATTATATATTTCTAAATATGTAAATTTTATTTCGAAAAACTTAAAAATTTCATGTTCAAATGCACGATCAAAATCAAGACGTTTGAATCTCGAAAAGCGAAAAATGCATATAAATTGGGACGGAGAGAGTATATGATCTTACAAATACCCGACATAAGTCTTTATCATATTCATATTATGAAAATTTTCTGTTATTTTAATATGCTTATACTGATAAATATGCAATGACTTTTTTTTCTAATTGTCTAATTCTAAAAGGGAGGACGTGGATACGCAAAAAACATTCTTTTTCAAGACATAGATATGGTGAATGTGACCAACCCCATAATCATAGATCAATTTTACTGTGACCAAGAAAAACCATGCAAAGAGCAGGTAATTAATTAAGTCATGTGACTCGTGTCAAATTTCTTTTTACAGTAAGTGGTAATATTTATATTTTTCTTTTGTTTTGTTTTTTCCTTTTTTTTTAAATTTTCCAGAAAGAAGCAGTGCATGTGAGTAATATAATGTACAAAAATATTAAGGGAACGAGTTCTACGCATTCTGCAATTAAATTAAACTGCAGCAAAACTGTTCCATGCCAAGGGATACAAATGGAAAATGTGGACATACGTTACCTCGGAGGTCCAACTGTCAAAGCTTTATGTGCAAACGTCAAATACACAACAAAAGGGGAAGTTTTCCCAAAATGCCCTTCCGAGCGTCCATGGGCATTTCTTTGGAATTAATAATATTTTTATTTTTTCTCCTTTGTATACAATATACATGTCTCTTTATTTCATTTTACAATTCCTTTTGTTCTTGAGAAAGTCATTATTGGCATTTGTCCAATAGAAAAGTTGTGTTATATAAGGGGAGTAGAAGGAAAGGAAGGGAGCAATTTTTAGAATCATGTTGGCTAGTTTACAACTGCTACTGTATTATGTATTTCTCAGTGTAACAATTCGTATTTTGTGAAAGATACTTTTTCTCCTTGTATTTCAGTGGTCGCATATAATCAAGGCGATAGAAGAATTTCTCTTGCATAAAGTATTTCTTCATTTATAATCTACA